AGACTCATCTACAGGGGCTTCGGTAGTAGCCTCACCTACAGGAGCTTCAGTAGTGGACTCGTCTATAGGGGCGCCAGTAGTAGACTCATCTACAGGAGATTCAGTAGTGGACTCGCCTACAGGTGCTTCAGTAGTGGACTCGTCTACAGGGGCTTCAGTAGTAGCCGCATCTACGGGGGCCTCAGTAGTGGACAATTCTACGGGGGCTTCAGTAGTAGATTCTTCTACAGGGGCCTCGGTAGCAGTAGACTCTGCAGGCGCCCCCGTCCCCGGCATCTCTGGTGTTTCCGTAGTATCATGGGGAGGGTATGGTGTTGTAGCCGTGAGGACGGAATGGTCGAAGCTGAGCTCAATAGTCGAGTCCTCAACCCGGTAGGTGTCGTCAACGGTATACATCGGGCCGTAGTCGCCAAAAACGCAAAAGCCGCCACATCCCCTCTCAATCTTCGCCGTAGTGGACTGCATACCGCGTTGGACTCCCCTCCACTGGAGGATGAATGGGAGGCCGTGAGCGAGGACCTTAACGCGGTATCCCCGCATGTAACCAGAACGCTTCCTCATGGCGAGGAGAACATCGCCGGACGTTACCCACACAGAATCCCTCTTCTTAGGTTGATCAGCAGAATACCATGTCTTATACTTACCATCAAAGACGACACAATGAAGCCTCTCATCACCAAACTGATGCATCAGATACCAGGTGCCATCGCCACCAGCGGGACCAAAGCAAGGAACAGCCGTCTGACCCCATGGGAGGTAGATGTTAGCCCGGGCCTTGGCCGTCAAAGTGACGTGATGATAATCCTCGTCCCGGCCGTGCTCACCATCCACCGGCTTGGGTGTGGTGGTTGCTTCCTCACCTACTGAATGATTTCCAGTCATCATGTCAGGTTCGACAGGAAGAGGACGGAAGTAATAGGCGCTGATGTACGCATTGCCGACACCATTGTACATCTTCACGGTCGGGTAGTAACCAAACCAATGCCCAAAGGTGCCTCCGTGGACACCAACGGTGAGATAACGGAAGTCCTCATCGTTGACGTTGTACTCTTTCGTCTTGGCGTAAACCGTCACGTCGTGGCGACGCTGTCATATTCGTCCAATTTGA